GGGGGGGGGGGATTTATACTGACGTTTCTGGTGCACTGTTGAAAATTATTGGCTCAAATTTTGGGTGCAGTTTTTGGAAATTAGTGCTTTCATTACATTTCATGTTCATTTTTATTATTTCATACTAATTACAGATTTACACATTTTATTATTTTCATACTAATTACAGAATCAAATTAAATACTGATAAGGCTATTGAAGTTAATAATTCGAATAGTTTAGAAAAAAATTACTAGACTACCTAATTTTGCTAATGACTTGATGATATCTATACTCAAATTTTTTTATAGCCTCACCGAAATTTCAAGGAATTCCGTCATTGAAAAACTGTGAATTTCAGTTCAGTTATTCCAGAGAGTTAGTGGAAGTCAGGAAAATTGTAGTTAAAATGTATATTGAGGAATCTATTCCTGAATTTTTAATTCATTGAAAATTCTTCGTCATTTGGTGCTGAATGTTTAGGCTTTCATTTGACATTCATGTAAACTGGAAATTTATTTGAATTTACAGTGAAGTTTGGAATCCAATGTTTTTTCTCTCAGTAGAATTCACCCTCCTGTAAATATTAGTCAACTGTCTATGAAATTTTATTTTTTTTCAACAGATCAATGTGGAAGATCTTTAGCCGAAATTTCAATTAAATTCCGTGCATTTCATTTTGCACTTCATTTTCTCCTCACCATCTTCAACATCATTAAACCCAACACAGCCCTGAATAAACTATTCAAAACACTGCTAAAAAACCGACATTATTGAAACAACAACCTTCCCAGTAAAAAACATGAAAGCTAAAAACAAAAAAAGACTGAAAAAAAACTCTCTAATTCGAAGACGCGACAAAGGGTGGTAGTAATTTTTTTCTCTCTCGTCATCCCCTTTGAGCTTGTGGAGCACAAAAAGAGTCTTTCAAGTTATATATACCTGCAGCGACAATGTTGCAACGTGTATAACGAAGAAACGGCGGGGTAGGAGCCGGGGGAGAAGGTGTGCGTTATGTGCGCCAGTACAAATGTCGAAACTGTCCGAGTGGCATACGATGCGTATTCCCTGGAGCGATTTTATACTAGTGAGCTAGCAAAGAGATGGACCAAGGGATGAGTACGAAAAAAAATTGACTCTGCGGGCACTATGGGACGCCATGGCCTGGTAACGATTTGGAAATGCAATTATTCGAGCGCGGCGACGCGTTTCGTATTTCCCAGCACTGTGCGCTCCACCCCCTCCACCCCCCCTGCGCCTCGCCGTCCCCCCTTTTTAGTATTTTTGTACATGTATTTTTTCGACAGATGTGCACAGGGCCAAAGGTCAGTGAATTATTCTCATTTCGATGCGCTCAGTGTATCAAGGACGAAGGGAAATAAGGGGGGTGGAGAAATATGTCGGATGTTCTTTGGACGAAAAAAATAAATAGGGCAATTTCATGCGGAGAGGGAAAATATTTGATGACTGTGGGATTTTCGATTATTCGGCGATTACTTTGGCTATTTTTTTCTGCAGTGAAATGGTTAATACGTTTGTAGTCAAACATCAGAGCTTCCGGACATTTTACAGTGGTTTTATTATGGAAACTTTGCTGGTCTGGATTTGAATCTGGAATCGTTGAATCGTTAGAAAAGTTTTTTAAAAATTGAACAAAATTATAAAGTTTAATTTTGATAGCAGATTGATGAAATCCTCTTTTTAAAGAAGAACGGAACGTTTTTTCGTCAGCAATCTATTGCGCCTTGCTCGACTTGGGATTATTTCCATCCTGAATTTGAATATCTTCTCTTCATATATAATAAAATAATAACATAAATATTAAAAAATTTCTCCGTTTTTATTCTGTGAAATATCATGACCTTAACAATGATAACAATGATAAAGGAAATCAGACAAGATCGAATGAAGTGGCATTCAATCCTAAATCGATTCATGATACAATCCTTTGATCTATAATAAAGTGTAAAAAAATAACATATAACCTTCCAATACCTTCTCCACATTCTATTATAGAACTTTCAGTATTTCTGAGGATTGATCACTTTTAAAAACAATATGAACAATTAATGAACATTAGTCATCCGTGAGAACTTGAGAATTTTACATTCAATTTACACATTGCCCTAGTAATGTAGAAATTGCAATTTTTGAAAATTACGATCATTTCCTATCAATAATTTACAAACAATCAATTTCCCGCAATAAAAATCATTTCTGCGGAATCGTAACAAATTTATTCATATTGAGAATTACACCAGAAATCGATTTCATGCCTAAAAAAATTATTGCCGAAAGATTGAACAATTTCAATTATTTATTTACACACAACGAATGTTTAAAAAAATAATAATTCTATGCAAAATGTAATTGGAATGATGCTGAATGTTGACGATTTTTTTTCAAATATTTCCTACGCAATTTAATTGACCAATTCGATGATTGAAAATGGTTGAATCTATAATGTAGTCTGTACCAAACTCCGGAGGATACTTGCAATCCTCAAGACGTTTTGAACATCAATGATGAAATGCCATCGCATTTCCCTCTATCCTAGAATATGAAAAAATAGCTACACTCGTGTTAGTCAATCTACATATATCCAAGACGAGGCATCCAATAATTCCTCGCATCGATCGCACGTGGAATTTCCCCCCTCCACTCTCCTCAAAGAGAGGGGATATATCAATAAATCAGAGGATGAGAACTCTTTTTACTGTAGGATATCATAAAATATGTTTTCAGAGTGCTAAGAGTGTACTTCTCCTCGTCGAT